CGGAGCTCTGAGTTTCTGTCTCCCTTAATATTTTTAAATTTTTCTTTTAGGGGAAATATTTTATCCTCCCTTTTTTAATATTGTTCAAAATATTTCATTCTTCTACATTCAGAGGGGTGGTGGTGGCGGCTTCTCACTTTGCTAAGAAAGCTTTTCTAGTTGCTCTACATTGTTATTCAGGAGTATTCGTTGAACATTCCCATATCAGTAGCTATTGGAATTTGCAATCCAGTGCATCCTGTTTGGAGAAGCTCATTGAAGAATTACTGACTGATGGAACTACAGATGCATAGATAAGGTGGCTAGCTAACATTATCATTACAACTCTACTTGCAGAGATAATAGTTATTCCTCCTTTGCTGCAGTCCCTAAATAGTCTCTTCCAGATTGAAAACATATTCTCGCAGAGCAAGGATGTGGTGTACTCAGTGGTGAAATCCTACCGGTTCGCACCGGTTCGGGGAAACCGGTAGTGATAAAAGCTACCGGTTCGGCAAACAGGTAGTAAAAAAAAGCTACTGGTTGGTCTGAACCGGTATTTCTGACGATCAGCTGTGCTGCGTGATTTAAAATCGCTAGAAAGCAGGAAATCCTGCTTTCTGGTGAAATCTAAATCATGCAGCACAGCTGTTTGCCCACCTTGCTGTCCCAGTTACCTTCCCAAGCCTCTTTTTTCCGCGAGCAGTGTGTGTTTGGTGCATAGTGCACATGCACACGTGCATAGCGTGCAGTCTGCACTGTGCATGTGCGCACAGCATGCGTTTGATGCTCACTATGCATGCGCACACACACAGCGTGCATTTGGCACACATTGCACATGTGTGAGCGCAGTATGCGCTTGGCTGCACCGTGCATGTGCGGGCAGTGAACTGGTGGCAAACCGGGGAGGATTTCACCACTGGTGTAGCCCTAGTCTTGAATTTAGAAGGGAAAAAAGTGGGATGCAATCAACTATTCGTTCTTAAAGAGACAGAGGCAAAGGCTGTGGGATTGCTTGAGTAAATAGAACAGCAAACTGCATTGCCTCTGTGTGTGTGTGTGTGTGTGTGTTGACAGAAAAGAGAATCATCTGAAAATGACCCTTCCCCAATGCCTCAAAGCACTTTTTCTACCAGGGATTCTTGTTCTTGTAGTGCCAACTCATCTGGGACAGATGTGAAGGAGCTGGAAGCCAACCATCACTTCAACCCTCTTTCTAGCTGAGACTGGGTCATTAAGAAGCAATAAAATAGGATCCAGAGAAGATCAGGATAAAAAAAAAAAACTTTGGCCATTTGCTTCTGAGGGAATCATAAGTAAACTTTACTATTTCAATAATTTGCAACAATCTGAAATAAAAACTGCCGTGAATTTAACAGTGTTTATTACTGTATTGCTGCTTTCTCTTTAAAATAAAACTAGTGTTTTATTGGCCTGGAGTGTCCTCTAGTGGCCATAAAACCTTCCTCCTATTTCACATCTCCAAACAAAATTCTTCCTAGTCAAAACTACTTTTAAATTTCAGTGACATTAATGACAAAATTTTCTTGGGACTGATTTATGTTTATAATAACTTTCAAATAAATAAATGTATTTTGAATGATTTCATTTTTTTTCAGATTGCATAGACTATAAAGTCAATCCCCAAATCGTACTGAATAAAATTAGTTTATTGGGGACTTTTTGTCCCTGTAAAATTGTCACTGCAGTACTGGCACTTAGTTGACTCTGGCTGCTCTTGAGAAGTTCAAGCTGATTAGCACCTGGATAGGAAATATTGTAACTGACAAAAAAAAAAATATTGTAATCTTGAGCAGGGGTGGACAACTATGACAACTTCAAGACCTGTGGACTTCACCTCCCAGAATTTCTGAGCCCAATAGGAACACGAGGAAGAATTGCAACCAAGACACAACAGCCAGATAAAAGAAATCTAAGTCTGGACTTGAAATGTAATTTGAAAAAGCATCTCATGTGTGACCTTCCCTGGTTCTCATGAAGATAAAGAAACGAGGAATGGGAAAGTGCATTCAGACTTGCAAAATTCTGTCATTATAACTTTATAATAAAAATAGTATTGCCAGATTTTTTAATTTGCCTACCTTGGTCCCTCCCAAAATTGTTCAGTTTACTTTTGAAATGATTCCTGATCTCCTTTGAAAGTGCTGAATATAAGTGACATATGACTTATTAAATAATTGGAACATAGTTTTCTGAGGAAAAAAGCTAGAAGAAGATTAGTGGGTAGAATCTTTGAACATCGGATTTCTAGAAAATTGGAAAAAATAATTTAATATAATTTAGAAGTTATTTTTTAAAAGGAAACGTACACTTTAAAAAGAAAAAAGAAGCAGTGAAAATCCTTGTCAGATTTAATACAGTACAACATTTTCTTAAACATTTGTAGAATAAAGTAGAATATGGAATATGAATTTTATTGATTTACTGTAAGTTGTTGGGTTTCTTTTTTGCTTTGAATCAATAATATCTAAAGGAAAATGACATTTTTTCTAGAAAGTAGTGCATGTAAGTGGCCTGCTAAAATCAATATTATTCCCATAAAAGAAATTGTACATAATTTGTTTTGTTACATAAGTTGTAACAAGAATTCTTAGGTTTCTACCCATTGACTGATGGTAAATGGAGACTATTCCAAAAGAGGAGAATATTTGTATCTTAAAGTTGAATTATGCTCTCTGAACCAGGGGTGAACTCCAGCAGGTTCTGGAGAACCGGTAGCGGAAATTTTGAGTAGTTTGGAAAAGTGGCAAATGCCACCTCTGGCTAGCCCAAGAGTGGTGTGGGAATGGAGATTTTGCAATATCCCTCCCCCCCAGGATGGGAGGGAATGGGGATTTTGCAGTATCCTTCCCCTGGAGTGGGGTGGGAATGGAGATTTTGTAGTATCCTTCTCCTGTCATGCCACCAAACCACGCCCACTAAGCCACACCATGCCCATCAAGCCACACTCACAGAACCGGTAGTAAAAAAAAAAATTGGATTTCACCATTGCTCTGAACTTTGATGTTTTCTTGTAGATATTTCGTTACCTAACTAGATAAAGTCTTCGTGCTGAAGATGAAATGGCTGCAAGAAAACCACCAAAGCAGCCAAATCCAGGGAGTTCATAGAGACTGTTCCATTTACATACTACCTTTTCTTGGTGTAAGGAATCGTTCTATCACTTCTTTTATTCATGGTTTATTTTAACTTTCTATACTACCGTACAAAGAAATATTGTCCCCAGATGCATGAGAATTTGAACTGTTTCCCAATTTCCAGAACCTACAGCTAGTAAATGTAGGTTTCATGGATCTTAATGTTATATATAATGAGCAATCGGAAATCTGCTTATTCTGCTATTTCTACTTTTCTATTAATGCAACTTCCTGTGATAAGGGTGGCCATGTATATTTGACAAAATTTGTATGTTTAAGCTCTATGATATTGTGACATTTGATGCAAAACATGGTATATTTAAGTGTAAGTAGGAAATAGAATTGGAAACCGTTATCACCGGAATTGAAAGTTTGTTGAAAGTTCCTTTTCCTATATGTAGAAATCAACAAGCATCATTCAGGGAGAGATTTAAATATACATCATGGTCCTGAAGGTGGGAAAAATGAATCAAAACCGCTTTACTAATATTTAAATCAATGTTTCTGCATTTTGAGGGAAACTATTCTAAGCTTATTACGTCTTTGAAGTCAACTTGCTATGTTATTTAATATCATTATCTGTTTTGGACTTTCAGGTCAGTGTGGACTCCCGGAGACTGTCTAGACAAGCCCTTCCAGTTTTTTGACAGGATTTCCAAAGTGGCTTGCCATTGCTTTCTTTCTAGGGCTGAGAGTGAGTGAGTGGCCTAAAGCCACCCAGGTGACTTTCTACCTAAAGTGGGATTAGAACCCATGGTCTTCTGGGTTCTAGCCTGGTGCCCTAACTACAGTACTAAACTGACTCTCACATCAACCATTGGTATTGTAATGTAGAAATAATACTTTTACTCGAAAGCTACTGTAGTTACGTGTGATTTATCAGCTTATTTCTGATTTTACCAAAATGGAAAAGTGGGACTCTAGTATCTATTTGAATATGGAATATAAAATGGGACCTTTGCATGAAGACATCCGAGGAAATAAACCTAGGCTTAAAATAAGAGGAAAAATGTGCGTTCTCAACACTCTGCATTCATTTACTCCAGTTTAGATCCTTTTACATTTAACTTCATCAAGCTTTTAATTACACTGATTTCAGATGTTTTGATTGCATTGTGGTTTATAGTTTGTGCTTTGGTTTGAATGCTTGAATATACATGTGGAAGATAAATGTGAATGGTGATATAAATGTATGTAACGATGATGATATGATGGAGGAAGAGGAGATTTAAAAATACATTTCTTCCTTTTATTTGTCCTAGCAGACTCACAGCACTTAGAAGCTTCAAAGAAATACATAATTTGCTCTCACCAAATTCTTCCTTATCTCCCTCCAGGTGGTTATTGTTAGAAATGATATACTTTAGCATTCTGTAAAGCTGTGTTCACATAATACACTAATCCAAAAAGCTTAATTAACGAAAACAAGCACTGAGCCGTCTTATACTTCCCTTTATTGCTGCGGTTTAACCAAGGTTTGCAATGTCATCCTGAAATCCTGGCCTAACGATTTGGGAGCTGAACAAACCAAACCTTTTAAACTTCATTATAAAGTTTGGCTTTGTGTACCCTAAAATGGCAGCTGCTCAAAGTCTGCCTGCAATTTTTATTAAAACGCGGATAGGTTGATGGGATATCAACCCTAATTAAGCAGGCTTTCTATGTTCCATTTTACATCCCAAATCGACAGAATAATCAAGTTTTGCCAGCACAAGGAGGAAATGGCTCTTTTTCATCCTGTCTTCAGCTAAACACAGAATACAAAAAAGAAGTAAATTTTTGATATATGCAAGACAAAACATGTTTTTTTTATTTTGGAAAGTCAGCTATTAGACTGGTTTAAAATGAATCTAACACACAAAATAAAAATTAAGACTTGTTTATTTAAATATGCTTCTTTTGAAGCGTTTATTTTTCATTTTAACCATACAGCCAAGGCTTTTATTTATTTTTTCCTTTTTTCTCAGTAGTTTACACTTCCTATAGACATTAAGACAGAATCTCAATTGCATGAAACATATATTCTTCACACATCTAAAAAAAGGAAAATCTATATTGTCTAATGCACACACCAAAGATACCATAACTGCCTACATCTAGAAGTGACTGTGTATGGTCACTTTAGGTTACACTAACGGCGAATGTTAACGTATTTACATTTCATTTGACTGTGTTTCAAATTGTCTCTTAGAGACAGATGTAGAATACGTATAAAAGAAACCTTCTACAAATATCAAGAATTTTTGAGGTTTCACAAGCCCCTCCTTTTGTTCTTCATTATGACCAAAACATTGGATTTTGGGTAGGTTGAAATCATTATTTCAAATTAGGGTTTTAGTGAACACTTGGAGATTCTCACTAAACTTTAAAATAAAATTCTGAATTCCTAGCATACATGTTCATATATTAATGCTGGTGCAAATGTAACATAATACAACATACGTGCACCAAGCATTGGCTTCATAGGTGATGTCTTGTATGGAACACTGATGGTGGATTAACCCTTCTATGCGTTGCATACCCTCTGCAACTCAACTGTGTACACACATTTTAAAAAGTGGATCCTTGAAAGTGATCTAAACAGAAAGCATCTTGAAGTTTTCACAAAGTTTTGGAATTGTCTTCCAAAACTGACACTCACCTCCATGATTAAAAGGCCAAAAGTGTCTTAAATTTCACCTTGAGTTCAATAGCCTTGCTGTCTTTCACACAGTTCACAAATGGGCCAAAAAATGTCTTCCAATAAAGACCACTTTATTGGAAGACAACAACTGTTCTGAGCAAACAGACACACTGCAATTCTGAAAACATGTCATGGTACATGACTTTAAATGGAAAGTGCTGTGTATTCAGAAATGAGTACTGAAATAGATCTAGGCAATCACAAACACTGGTACACTTTCTCCTGCTTCACATCTGTAGGGTGCTGTTTACTACTTCAACTTACTTTTTACTTTTCTGAGGGAAAGAGGCATATGAATTGGGACAGTGGCTATAATCCCAGAGGCAACAATTAAAATGATTAACAGCATTGGAGTTTTTTTTAAAAATGGCAGAGCAAAATGTTTTGTTTGGGCCTGAACTATTAATTGTTCTGATTGTGGAGAAAAGCCAGAATTCCACTTGGAAATAACCTTCACATTGTATTTAAAATTTAAGTTATTCCTATGAAAACAACTGGATAATATGGAATACCAGTGCTACCGGGAAATCTGGCATGAGCTAAAGTTGCTTTCAAACAATTATGGTCAATAGCTTTCCTAAAAAGTTACTGCAGTCAGATTTATGGGTAGCTGGGAAAATTAAATGGTCACAAGGATGCAAAAAACGGATCTGAGAAATTAATCTCTTCTTAAACTGGACACTTTTTAATGAAATATTGGGCTAACCCTAACTCTCCCTAGAAGAACTGTGATCCCAGCATCTTTCTGTCAGCTTAAAAACAAGTTTACCAAGTTAAGAGGTAGTTTCTAACCCATTCCATCCCTGCTTCCTGTTCTGTCTAAACTTCAATAGCCTGTAACCTTTTTTGACTCCTTAGCCTCCAGCATGACTGGGAAACTGCAGAGGTCATGGGAGTATTATCTTCTAAAGCCGAGCCAACTTTTAATGTACTTTCAACTCAAGCCAAGACCGCACAAGAGTGGGATGGCTTCCTCTGAACTGAGGTGACCTGGGGAACATCCTATTCAGTCCTCTTCAGAGCTGAACTGAACTTCTGACCCCTGGGAATCTGACATAAATTGCAAGTATCAACAACGTCAAGATTGAGGTTCACAAAGATGCTGCAGGATCACGAGTTCTTTGCTAGCTTTTGCCAGAGCAAAACTAAGATACAAAACTAAGCTTTCTTTTCAGAATTGCAATCTAGATAAGCTGCTTCACAGAGGTAGCTGCAGAACCATGTATTTTTGTCTTAGATTCTATTACGATAACATGTAGCAAAGCAGAAAGTATATGGTAGATACGTTGGTATGTGCATCCATGTACCATCATCAAGGAAGACAAATAAATAAAGACAGTCATATCCATCACTGTATATTCATCTTAAGTATGCACTTTCTGTATGATCTAGTTTGGCATGAGACCTACAGTAGAATAGTTCTTCAACCAGTATGAACATTTCTATTCTACACTTATAAATGAATATACACCTGAATACTTTAATGTTCAATTAATTTTCACCCCATTGCCTTTAATAGGATAGATTAACATTATGCATGACTCACTTACTGCAATCCTATATTCCTTACTTAGGCGTAAACCCCAGAGATCTGAACTTTAGGAATATGTGTCTAGCAGAGTGATCTACAAGTACTTCATTTTACTTCATGACTGAGTGACAACATACAGCAATGAAATACTATCCACAACTCTGTCACCTGCGCTTGAAGACAAGGAAGCTATTCATCTAATAATGCAGTTTGGGAGAAAAAAGGAAAATAAACTTTTCTTACAGGCAAAACTTTCTTAGGCTGGGTTGATGTGGGGAAAAAAAAAGTAAGATAGTGAAAGATGAGGAGAGTTTGGGGGGAAGAAGAAAAGATTATGGTAAAGGTAAAGGTTCCCCTCGCACATATGTGCTAGTCGTTCCTGACTCTAGGGAGCCAGCACTGTCCAAAGACGTCTCGGTAGTCATGTGGCTGGCATGACTAAATGCCAAAGGCGCACGGAATGCAGTTTGTTACCTTCCCACCAAAGATGGTCCCTATTTTTCTACTTGCATTTTTTACATGCTTTCGAACTGCTAGGTTGGCAGAAGCTGGGACAAGTAACAGGAGCTCACCCCGTTAACACGGCACTAGGGATTCGAACCGCTAAACTGCCGACCTTTCAATCAGCAAGCTCAGTGTCTTAGCCGCATCCCCTTTAAAAAAAAAAGATGATTGGAATCCAAAATGGATTTTAGGCAGTTTCAATTGCTAAAGGAATGCTAGTTCCAGAAGAGTTTGGGGCAAGGCTTCTGAAGTGTCCCCGGGTGGAGTCCAGGGAAGACCACTGAAGAAGACAGGCAGCTAGCAAGAGATGTATCTTCTCAAGGAAGATGGCTTCGTTTAGGGATGAAGAACAACAAGAAGAACAAGTCCTGCCAGTTTGAGAGACCGGGCCAGCCGATGGAATGAACACTCTCTTATTCCTAACTGGGAAGGAGATTGCTGTACATCTGAACAGCCTTAAGATTAAGCCAACTACCATTACTCTTAGAAAAACCAGTTAACCGAGATATACGAGCACAAGCAGTAATAAATCACCACCACATTCCCATTCCTTTATTAGCTGAAGCAGAGAAAGGAGGAAGGTGTGAGGGAGAAGAATTCATGCTTGTTTAACTGTCTTAATTGGATTCTGTGTAAATAGCTTTATGTGCCTGGAAATGAAGGTAAGAAATCACAAGGAAGTTTTGTGTGCCCTGTGCTGAATCATTTCCCATGGACCCGAAGCTCTTGTGACAGACTGGATTGTGCCTTTGGAGATCAATTAAACTGAAAATATAGTTGTGCCATAAATCTATAATTGGTTTGTCTGCTCTGCTTGCAGTGTTGCTGTTCCTAACCTGACTGGCTTAGAAGCTTTTGAATTCCCACTAAATATTGAAAGTTCATTTCTACAATATAGAAAAGCTTTTGTTCAGAGAATAGTATACATATTCTGTATCATATTCTCTGCAAAAATAGGCATCTTTGTTAGCACGGACTAAAACATCGAACTATGGCAAACTTTTCCCTAAATGACAAATTATCAAAATAATATATTTCCTGTATGATATTCAAAAATACTGCACAAATCTATTTTGTTTTAATTTACCACTTTCACAAGTAAAAGTTTCCCTTTTTCCTTCCCATCAACTGCAAATTGACATTTCCCACTGTCTTAGTACAAAATAAAAGCAAAGTTAAAGTATATCAGCAATGTTATAGTCTTTCTATTAATTTTCACACAGGCGCTCTTACATTTTGTAAGATGTAAATTTTTACATGTTAGTAAAAACCCCTGTGACTATTGCACTTTATTAGACTCTATGCACCCATAAATCTAAAGCAAGAGGGTTTTTTCCCTCCTAATTAAGAACTGGTCATAAATTAGGGTAGAAATAATTTAGTATGCACTGCTTAAAATAAATGTAGAACTAAGATAAATTTCAATAAATTATAATACTGATTGCCTGTTATGTTATTTTAGGGATAAGCAACATAGTACACACTAGCTGTTCTGGATTGTAATTCCTATGATTCCTTGCTGTAGGCCATAGTTGGAATCCAAAACTTAAGAGTGGAAAGACACTAGATAACCAAATTTGCGGTATAGCCTCCTTCAAAGAAGAGGAACATGTAATTCAGGGGTGTCAAACTCACGTTGTCATGGTGACGTCATGTGACGTATTGGGACTTTTTCCCCCTTTTGTTAAACCGGGCGTGGGTGTGGCCAGCACGTGATGCATCCGGCCTGCGGGCCGGGAGTTTGACAGCCCTGATGTAACTCTTTGGATATTGCTGAGGTACAAATCTCAGCTCCACCAACCCATTTGGCCACTGATCAAAGATTCTGGGAGTTACACTAAGAGTCACAGGTTCCCACCCTCTGGATTATGGGGCACCCATGTTTGGACTAAATAATCATTTAATTGTTTAATGATATTCCGTATTTTTCGGAGTATAAGACGCACCTTTCCCCCCCAAAATGAGAGTGAAAATCTGGGTGTGTTTTATACTCCGAATGTAGCCCTGCCCAGCCTTGCAAACGGAGATTTCAGAGGCTGAAAGAAGCCTCAGAAAAAAAGCCTCACAAACGAAGCTTCAGAAAAAAAAAAGCCTCTGAAAGGCTTTTATCTAAAATAATATGGCAAGCAACAAGAGAATCAGTAAAGGTTCTAACCAAACTATGTTAACAAATCTGGAGAATGACACAATAACCAACAGATCGGGAAGAGGTTAATCTACATACCAATACCAAAGGAAGGAGATTGAACAGAGTACAGATAGTCCTTCAGAATAAAAGCCTCTGAAAGAAGCTTCAGAAAAAAAGCCCTTTTTTTCTGAAGCTCTGTTTCAGAGGCTTTCAGAGGCAGATTTTTTTCCCCCTGCAACGGAGTTTCAGAAGTTTCAGAGGCAGAAAAAAAAAGCAAGGCACAGAGCTCACAACCAACGAACCTGTTGCTAAAATTCACCTCTGGAAACAGCTGATTGGGGGTATTCCAGGAGGCCAATCCACCCACCAATCAGTTTTTTTCTTATTTTCCTCCCCAAAAACTAAGGTGCATCTTATACTCCGAAAAATACGGTATATTGTTTATACATTATAATGTTATTAAAATGTTTAATAATCATTTAATGGTACTCAGCAAGTCAAATTCAGTGAAGATTCTGCAGTATTAGGCAATGGAAGCTTCTTGTTTCCTTCTCCTCCTGCAATCCTCTGTACCTTCTCTTTCTACAAAAACATTCCTACAGGTTGGCATTATGCCATGACACCAAAGGGAAATTCAAAGAATTTGCTGATGAACTTTTTTCATTTGTGCAAGGTATCTCTGAATCCAAACCAGTAGCATTAAACATAGTTCTTGTTTTTACAATGCCTGATTTAATATTCTGAGTTTGTAAACAAGCGGAGTTTTGAAATATTGTCTATATATGATATGGGTATGATTATTTTGTTTCAACAGAGATACTACATCTCAGGTCAAGCTCTTCTATTATCTCAGCCTGTTTTCTTGTTAAGCAGGAGCTTTTTCTCCAAGGGGAAAGATTATAAATGTTTATACTGTAAATATTTGAATGATGCCACTAATTCTGAGTAGCCTTTTGCGCAGCATACATATTTTTGCCCTTCATTGAGTAGGTGACTAGCCAATTGTGGCCTTTTTAAACACTTGACTGAATATAATTTGTACTCTGTAATTGTTTACAGCTATTTTCCTGTTAACAATGAATTTTCTCTTCCTCAGACATTAAAAACAGCTTTCAACAGACTGCAAATGAATACATTTGCCGGTTCCATTTACATGTGTTTTTACCATGATTATTTTTCACAGCAATGCTGTATCACCATAACACAATTAAACTATTTATTCCAGTCTATAAAAAAAATGGAAAGCTTCTCATAAGCTTCAGTGTTCTGAACAAGAAACAACACTAGAATAGGAAGTAGGTTTCAGTCATTCTTCTTTCTAATACTGATATTAGTGTGCTGGAAGTATACTGATAATAATATGCTAGCAGTGCAATTCTAGGCATATATCCTAAAGGTTAGGTCTACTGAATTCAGTGGGGTTTATTCTCAAGTAAGTAGGTTTCACAGACGAGTGGCATCACTCCATTAACTGCTGCTTGATACTGCTCATTTTGACTCACATTTCTATAGTTTTGATTCTCAATTACAGCCTGTAGACATGACCAATATTCCACATATTAACAGGTCTAACATATTTCCGAGATGTCTAGTTATGGGCAACGTCCCCCAATCCTTCTAGTCCTACTTCAATTTAACACATATAAAAAGTGATGGATCTTATGAAGAGTCAACATTGTTTGATAGTTTTCAATAGTGATGGAGGGGTGTGTGCAGATAAAGAATATAAATAGATATTGGGAATAGGCTTATTCATTTCTAAAAGACTTTTGGTTTTGGTTGGGTTAATCTCATTTCCAAATCAGCTAATAAATAATGACAACTTGTATGCACAAATGCATCAGCAAGAACTTTCCAAACTAATTGATTTTTACATTTTAATGATTCAGAAGAGCTCTGGTTTTATTTTGGAAGTTGCCTCTAGTGCAAAATTCCTTCATGTGGTATTTGTTCTAGCCCTGGCATATACAACAGAAACTTCAGGGTGGCTGACATTGATATACCTTCAAGAAATTAAAAATAAATCACAAAAAGATGCTATCGCTAATAGTTTAAAAATATTGCAGCTGTGACAGAAAGATTGTTCTGTTACTCTAAAAAATCAGGACTTAATCGACAAAGGGAGTGAAAAAATACAATAGATTTTCAATGATTTAATTTAGGGCTCTAGGGCTCAGTTATAATGACAAAGAGGTGGGAGAAACTATTTAGTTAAGTCAGTGGTGGGTTGCCCCTGGTTCGGACCGGTTCGCAAGAACCAGTAGTAAAACCGGCAGGAGGCTCCGCCCACTGACCCGGATGTCATCAGAAGTGATCTGCGCATGCGCAGAAGCTTCTGTGCATGCGCAGAAGAGTACGCACATGGGCACAATACAAACCGGTAGTAAAGGTAAGTAGAACCCACCCCTGAGTTAAGGCCCTTAAAAGAGCTGCAGCTAATACTGTGCCTAAATTAACTGTTCCAGATAATAGCCACATAAGAGTTGGACAAGCATCTCCTACTAACCAGGTTAAAAAAGATTATTTTTTTATTTGTAATTCTTATTCTACATACCTCAAAATTTAAGTACTACCATATATAGAGCTTTAGAAAGGTGAAAAATGAAAATGGAACTGTTTTGATTTAGTATTTCAATTTTGCAGTATAACCATATTTAATGACTCTGGTGCATTAGTTTATAGTTGTGTTTTTGATTTTTTTAAACAGGTCTTTGAATTAAAGATGCCTCTTCATTTTTGTACAGGAATGTAACAAAATAAAGATTGGGGAAGCATCTTTTTATTTTTCTTTAATCACCCAAATAAGCTGAAGCTAAAACCACCCTGTTTTAGACATTATACAAAGACCTAGCTCTCTGAAAAGGTTTTAATGCTCGAAAGGGGGAAAGGAAAAAGAAGAAGAGGATAAACAGTAACTAGCAATGAGTGCATTGAAGAGCTGAAGGACAGATATCATGGAGGAAATCTATGTAGTCTGCAAGAGTCAATATCAACTTGATGGCATGTAATCATTCAATCAAAACTAGCAAAACTAGTAATATTTTGAGAATCTAAGTAATATCTCTAAGAAGACACAACAAAGGCAAGAAATAAAGACATCGGAAGTAACTAATGCACGCTTGGTATATCTTAATCCAAGGGTGGACAATTATGCCCCCATTATGACCTGTGGATTTCAACTCTCCAAATTCTTGAGGCACCATGCTTTACAAGGTGTAAAAGAGCCATAGTTGCCCAACCCTGTCTTAATCCATTGTATGAATTTCAAGTTACCCAACTACTTCAGGGATGGACTAAGGCACCTTCCCTGTTGCCTCTTGAGTTAATTGTTCAGGAGAACCTCTATATACCAACGGAGAATGAAATAAGATGATTAAATAGCACTTCACGAATTATTAATCCTGGCAATGTCCAATTAATTACAGCACCTTAATTAGAATAGAGAAGCTATATTCCAACATCTTTGCAGCAATCTAATGGGGCATTTTGACTAGCATTTCTATAGTTTTGATTCTAAATTACAGCCTGTAGACATGAGTAATATTCCACACATTAACAGGTCTAATTTTGTTTTCTTTTGGAAATAACGCTATTTGTGTTCCTCAATGATAGCATCCATTAATCCCTATTCTGCTTGCAGAAAAATTCTACTGGATCCATTGTAAATCAGAATGCCTGATCTCTCTCCCCCTAATTTGCATGATAGAAAGAGGTTACAATTAGAATGATGCAGCAAATAGCTCAAGGTCAGATACCACCACTGATTGCAACTAAGTCTATCCTGTTACCCAAAGCTTTCCCAACATTTCACTTGCCAGATGTTGGAATTATGGGAACTGCAGCCCAACACATCTGGAGCTATCAATCTGCAGAAAGTTGGTCATGAGACACACAGATGATAGGCACACTGAAATTAAGCAGTCAGCGCATACCAAACGCCATAAACTTCAAACTGCAGCTATATGCAGACAACATTTACTATTAGGGCTGGCTTTTGAAGATTGATATCATTAAATATTTAAATCGTAAAACTTGCTTGCCAATTCTTCTGCTTTGGAACAAAGCTTCATTGCTAATGAAAAAAAAATGCTTTACCTGTTATTTTCCATGAGTTTGGCACTATGTTCCTATTTCAGTTTTCTTGCTTCATTAATATGCTAGCCTTATCCCCTAAATACAAGTTTAGAAATGCTAAAGTCTTATATCAGAATCTTCTAAGCTAAAGACACATTTTATACCATGGTCTTAACAACAGTTTTCGATGTCTGAACTACACAGAATTATGGCCCGAAACTAGAAACAGAAATTAATTCAGCTCATCCAGAAACAAGAATTAATAAAGGGGACATTTTTAAGTGAGCATGGATCTTAAAATCTATCTGCTGGCTAGTTTTTTTTTAAAAAGAAACAAAGTTCATTCTGAAGCATGCACACAAACCTTATAAACACAGCAATGGAAAAGCTCAATTGTTTAATGCTAACGATCTAGCAGGAAGTATACCAATGGAAAGGGACAGTAGTTATCTGTCATGGACCCATTGATACCTCCTTGTTATGAAACTGTTATCTAGACCCACTTTTGTTCTTTCTGCAGTTTAACTAAGCAGATGTAGCACTATGAAGGAGAGGACGCTAGAATGGATCGTCACGCTGGTGGCAATCCCATGTCAGTTTTATCAACTGCTTCCAAGCAATCAGCTGTTCCTATTATGTTTCAGCTGTTCCAAGTCCAAATGCAACTCTAAGCTGTTATGTGAAGACTAAGGGAATTGCAGTCGATTGGAATCTCTGAAGCAGGAGTCATAGGCCTTTATAATTGAAGGATTTTCTAAGCTGAGACCATCAGAGATCTAGAGAGTAAAAGGTACGAGGTCCTTTTCATTTAAAAACAAAACAAAACAAATTGAATTGTCGATTTTGTTTGCTATGTTTACCAAAAAGGGTGGTTTTTCTACTCTCGTTTTTGGATGTACAATTTTAATACTAATATACTTGCTACCACTGTCTACTGTGTTGAAGTGTAAAGGTTAAATGAAGAAGTTCGCCAAGTGAGAGGCAGAGCTTGGTCTTACTTTTATTTCTCTTTCTCCCCCCCACTTTTCTTTCTCTTTTTTACTGGTCTTCCGCTCTGTTACTGTTTTTGAACTTAACCACCATGACTGTAATATTGTCAGGGCATCCCCTATAAAAAGATTGGAGCACTATGCTCTTGGCTCCAAAATGTGGCTCATCTAATCGTTCTTTGATGAATCGCACCGCTTCCTCATTACTGAACGCATCCCAGAGCCCATCAGAAGCTAAGATCATGAACTCTGGCTGGAGTTTGTCCAGGTCAAAGGTCAAGATATCTGGATCAGGGATGACAACATTCAGATTCTTCAACGGGTAATCCCCAAGAGAACGAGACATGGCCAGGATCCCCTGAACACGCCAGGAACCATTGAAACTGATGAAGCCACCTGGAAGAGAGAAGGAGAGGGAAAAAAATGATTAAATAGTGTTTATGAATTGTTTTCAGACACTTCCACGGCACTAGGTTATTAAATCACTTAGAAAAACTAAGTAACTTCACAATTTTTTTTTTCTTAAGTAAATCCTTTCTTACTATGTATCTGTATATCTGTTGCCAAGACATAAGAAGGAAATCTTGCTCATCAATTGATCTTTGTCTTTTTCAACACAAGGAAAAGATCCCACTATTTAAGGAAAACATAGCCAGAAAGCCATAACTATATGTCCCCTGTCTATCTTAAAATCACCCAGTATTTTGAAGCAACAGGCACATCTAAAATTTTGAGAGCATACCGTTTTGTACCATACAATACAGTCAGTGATGGGTTGCTACCGGTTTGCCCCGGATCAAGTGAACCGGTAGTGGTGGCGGTGGGAGGCGCTACCCACCCGCCCAGACACTTCTGCGCATGCGCGCCCACGAACAAACCAGTAGCAATGGGTTTTGAAACCAGTGCTGTCTGCATGTCAAAACTGCTAGGATTTTAAAGAGTCTGGAGACCTACCCTATGAGGAATGGTTAAAGGAGCTGACTAGGTTTAGGTTACAAAACAGAAGACTGAGAGATGAAAACTGTGTGTGTGTGAGAGTGTGTAGGTACGTATTCCATTCAGTCAACTTTGACTCTTGGTAACTAGATGGATAAGTCTCTGCTATTATCTAGGTAACGTTTTGATAAATGGCTTGCCATTATTGTTTTGGTAGAGCTAAAAGTTTAATGACTGGCCCAACGTCATTACCCAAGGCTGGTCCCTATAAATATATGTAAAAAAAAAAAGAAAAAGAAAAACAGGGAGAGGAACTTGTTTTCTGCTTAAAGTAAAGGAAGAAGGAGGACCAAGGGTTGAAATTAAAGGAGAATATAAAAGTGAATATTATGTGGAATTTTTCCACATTAAGAACTTCTTTGCAAAGGGACCGTCCTTCTAAAGTTAAACTCTTTCTCACAGGTGATTTTCAAAAGGGGGTTAGTCTCAAAACTAAAACTAAGTTGGGATGGTTTAATGGATTTGTGCACTGGGCAGAGGCTTAGGATCTCACTTCTGAAAAACTCTTACAACTCATACACTTCGCAATTTTAAATTTTAACAAATGGGACACAATAAATGAGGTAGCACAAAAAGCTGGACAGATGCTATTGGACTCACTTGTGCTTATGTGACCCAGCTTAAAAATCTTCAAGCGCTCAAGTATTTGGCTGAAAAGATGGGACTCTGTAGTGGAATTTCCACTTTCCATAGTTCTGGATCCTGACTGATCTGTTTTCAGGATGTTTGGAGGACACTCTGGCCTTTGAATTATATTTGGCTCACAATCCCTGGTGCAGGTGTTCCTTCCTATACTAATTTTGTCTCTGGGTTTTACATGCATACAGAGTAAAAAGTAAATGGCACCATTAGGAAAAACAGAAGCCTATTCAGTAACATCTGAGATTAATGAGGCCAGAGTTAATAGACTGTGAGCATATCCCTTTCTATCATGATACATTTTATGTTATGCATCTTATATCTGATAAGGAAGGACAGGAAATATCCAAACTTTGCCACGAGGATTTAAGATTAAATCAATATCCTTGCTGTTGTTATTGAAATGCTGTTGCTATTGAAACACATGGGTTTCCGTAGGCAAGTTCATCCATATATATGACAAACTGCTGAACAGGAAGAGAATTCAACCTTCATCTCTGTTGTTTGCAACATAAAGGACATTTTCTTGCCTGTGCTCAGGCAATCTCCCCCTCATTTTAATCATGTCCTGTATATCCCTCTGGGATAATTCAAGAAGAGGTACATACTCATTTGCAAAGATTTATAACGGTACTGGGATATCAGACCAGTCTTATAAAAGTCAAAATCTCACTCCAGGGCACATACACACACAAAAAAAGAAAAGCACATACAAGCAAAAGCTTGTCTTTCTCATCAAGAAATTCTGGTTGAACAGAAGCAGTAATGATTGAGAAAAAAAAGTTCTTGTGAAAATAATCATCCTTCACTTTTCGGTTCATAGAGGAAAATAGAAGAAACAGGCAAGGAAGACATTTCAAAGCAACAGGACACAGTATTTGGGCAAGGTATAACTGAAATATTGTAAGGACAGTACCTGGGATGGGAGGATTATTAGCAATACAGTCATCAATAATATTCTTATCATCATGTCTATGGAGATTCTCAGTCATCCAGGTCATGGTTGTCCCAAAGGTGCTTTTTCAAGAGGCAAATGGATTTTCTTCTTTTTCTTTGCAGACGTTTTGCTTTTCATCCAAGAAGCTTCTTCAGCTCTTAGAAAAGAAGCTAAAGAAGCTTTTTGGATGAGAAGCGAAACATCTGCAAAGAAAAACAAGAAAGTCCAGTTGCCTCTTGAAAAAGCACCTTTGGGACATTCTGATCATCAGTTACTCAAGGAAGTTTTGAATTGGGCCCTGGGAGCTCAACTGGAGCCTCTGAGATTGTCTACTAATGCTCATACAGGTAATCCTCATTTTAGCAACTGCCTCATCCAATGACCTTTCACAGTTATGTTGACACAATAATCGGAAGTAGGTGTTGGCTTTCAACAAAACCGTCATAAAATGCAGTCATACGTTGTCAACCGCCCAACGTGCATCATGTGACCACAGGGGGAGGCTGACTATCAGCACTTCCCATCTGAGTCATGAGTCCCCCTTTTCAGGTAGGTCATATCCTTGCTCACTAAGCAACCATTATACATGTAACAGATACTACCTGTACTTTGGTCCTGTTTCCTGATTTATATTACCTAAAATAATGTAATATAAGGAAGAAAGGTGAAAGATTTATACAATCTGAAGAGAAACCAGAGGAAGAAAAAAAAAGAAAGGAAAAAAAATATCACCCTTCTTGGCCCAGTATGTGAAACTAAAGATATTTTGGCAGAGTTTTTGCTTCTAGCTCAGCTGGCCATTTCCACATGCCTACTGCCTTCATTGGGAGATAAAATAAGTGAAGGGGAAAATCCTTAACAGAGATAGAATCTCTGTTGTTCTATAGTGAGAAAAGGCTTTATTGTTATTCTCAAAAAAACAAAACCTTTCATTCCTTTATTTCTCTCTTTCTCCCCTACAATCCTGCCTCCCTCACATGTTGCTTATTTTCTGGTTTTTTTAGTATCATCTTTTATTACTACAGTCAATCTTTTTTTCCCTTTCCCCTTTTGCTACAGATTAAAATGCACTTTTTTTTTTAAGTGGAAGGATTTATTGTCTCTGAGTAAAGAGAAAATTTCACCTCCTTTAGTGCATGGCAACAGAAAGGAACTAATGTTCATTTGTAAAGTGCAAATTAGTCTTCTCCAATTATAACTTCTCAGAATTGTGCTCGACAGTTTCTCCCAGAACTTCGCAGCAACACCACCCAACAAACTCGGAAACTGAAGCAAGAACAAATTAGGAAGTTGGAACAAGGTTGTTCCTTTTGCCCAACTTTTATTTATTATTTACTCATTTTAAACATGTCTGCATTGCTTGCCATTAATAGAATTCTCATAGCAATTTACAATTAAACTATTTTAACTGATAATTGCTTTAAGGTAACTGACTTTACTTTTTTACTTTTGATTTTAATTGCACTGATTTTATTGTGTTTTTTATTTTGTATTCTAAAAATGTTGAAAGCTACCTTGAATGTTTATAGAAGTGGAAAAGGACAAAACCAAGGATAAATACAAATAAAAATAAACTGAGTATAATCTGCACTTCTATTTTTAAAGGCTCTCATTACCCCTTTGCTCTCAACTACTTTCCAAACCACATAAAATATATATTTTATTGAGCTCTGTTTATGCTCTTTTAAATTAGTAAAATGCCACAATGCCTAAAGCCACAGAGTAAAGAATAATGGATGATCACTGGATGATTTATTCTCAATAATGATCATAAAAATACAGACAAGTGTAAGAGGAATGGCATATCTTTTCTTGTTCAGATTTTGCAGTTTGCAAAAAATATATTTGAATACATTTTCAAGCCCCAAAGTATAATTTTTATATTCCCTTTTCTCTCCTTGTCTCATTTTTATATAAAAGACATAGCTAATGGAATCATCTCTAGTATCCTAATCTTTGAGGCCAACAGATATTCCTATGAAGGTGTTTTTCTAAAATCATATAAATTAGAACAGTGGTTCTCACCCTGTGATCTGCAGACCCCTGGGAGGTTACAATGTTATTACAGGGTGTCCACGAAGATTCGAAGAAAAGTTATGATTTAAATCTTGAGTTAAGCCTTGGTGGTCCGTGGCCACAAAAGGTATTTAAAGGGGGTTGAGAACCACTGACCTAGAAAATTTAGTGTTGCCTAACATTGGATAAGAATAATTTTCCAAGATTAAAATAAACCCTCACCAACCAGTTTTAGAAAACACCCTACACATCTCAAGTATTCTTAAAAATTCTCATTATAAACCCAAATATCGTGTATGTCAAGATGCTGTTGAAGAAGGAATAATTTCTGTTTAGGCACAGCTGCATATTATAAAAGAGCTCAAGCTAAAAGTAACTGAAAGTTCTCCCTGAGTAAACTCAATTTATATAAGAACTAGTAAGCTCTCAGTGAAATTTTCACATGGTCGCAATATACACTCAGAACTGAATAGAAATCCCCCCGTCCTGATTGCATGTCTAAAAAAGCATCACTAGAATATTGTAATTTTCTCTTTGGAGAAAACCAAAAATAACATGTCCTTCAATGTCCAGTACAACTTAATATTGGCAATATTCCCTACTGGCTAATATATTCAATCAAGCATTTCCATCTTGTGATTGATTTTCTGGCTGAACAAGTAGAACAGTTCTGGATTTTCTTGCTTTATTCACATCTCATTTTTGTAACATTTTGCCCCGATGAAGAGTTATGGAGAATTCAAAAACTTTTACATTTGTGCAGTGGTGAATCCAATTTTTTTTACTGCAAGTTCTGTGGGTGTGGCTTGGTGGCCGTGGCTTGGTGAGCATGGCAGAGGAAGGATACTGCAAAATCTGCATTTCCACCCCACTCCTGGTGAAAGGATATTGCAAAATCTCCATTCCCACCCAACTTTGGGGCCAGCCAGAAGAGATATTAGACAGTTCTCTGAACTACTCAAAATTTCCACTACCGGTTCTCCAGAACCTGTCAGAACCTGCTGGATTTCACCCCTGCATTTGTGCCATTTTGGGTAGCTTCCACCAAAGGATGGATGGATTTTGCAAACATAACCAAAAACTTGCTCATAACAACTTGCCTAATAGGAAATATACATTTTTTAAAAAACTGTTAAACTGATAGCACATTAAAATAGACATGATTTTAGAATAATAAGTATTTCCCTCCTATCACTCAATACTATAAATGGGGATCATTCAATGAACTTGTTTCCAGTTAGGCTGTTCATCCTACAACATGTAATGAACTTGGGCTACCATGAGAGTGAAGCTGCTGTCAGAAGCTGGAAATAATAAAGACAACAGGAATGACATACAGTGGCTCTGTTCTGTTTCCTTACAGTTACAACTAAAGGAAACCCATCAGCTTGACTTTGGGACATGGAAAGACAAGGGTAGACATTATTTCCACCTTTGCTCACAACAATTTGTCTAATACTTCTATTTCTCCTCTTCTACATTGTTCATCCCAGGGGTGAAATGCTACCGGTTTGCAATGGTTCGGGTGAACTGGTAGCGGTGGCGGCTGGTAGTTCGGAGAACCGGTAACGGCAGCAGCGCGAGGCTCCGCTCACCCACCTGGATGTCGTTACTTCCTGGTTTTACACCAGGAAGTAACCTGTTTTGCGCAGAGGGTCCAAAATCACATGTGACACGTGCGTGCGCACTTCCGAACTGGTAGGGAAAGTAAGTAGATTTCACCCCTGGTTCATCCTTTATTTTGCACAATTCTCCAGAAAATTCACTACCATCATATCGCAATAAATAAAACGATGAAAGAATAATAAAGAAATATAATTTCTGGCATGATGTAAAAAAAAGAAACAAACCGACCACCCGATTTAGAAACTTACCAGCTCTTTTAATCCTCTTTCTTTCTTTCAGCTGATAGGGCTTGTGATCATGAGACAAAGGAATAGCATTTCCATCCTTATCGCACAAGACCCCCCTTGAATCTCCAACGTTGGCCACTGTGAGCTCTTTATCGGACAGTAAAGCAATCAAACATGTTGTTCCTGAAAAGGCAAAGAGGAAGACCATTAAGACAACTGACAGTACCACTCCCTTCATATTCTTTTCCTGATCCACCTTATTTGCATTCGGGAGCTGTCAGGAATGGCAGCTGCATTTGTATCTGCACAAAACATCTAGTGCTAGAATGACAGATTGTTTCATGGCACTGATCAAATCTGACAGTCAAGTTCTTTTTTCCACAATATTTTTTTCTGTATCTGATATTTGGTTGGCATTTCAGGAATGTTCTCACCTAGCTTGTCATTCAGGAAACCTACAAGAAAAAAAATATAGCCCCATGCCCCAATGGTATATATATATATTCATCCTTGTTCCATTTGTTTTCCTCCCAATACAAACTACATGACAAGTGCAAAAACACTTGGTAAAACATACAGAGGGGAAGTCTTATCGTGCACAGTGAATGTCACTGGAAAGCAGATTCTACATTACAAACCACAAGAGGACTATATTCCCAGTAATAAACAGATGTCTGTCTTCTCCCACTGGGCAAGGATAATAAGGGAAAAATCTCCTATTGACATATCCATTTGCTTGTAGCTGTACGTGATTGACAACAGCTTCGGCTTTACCAGGTGTAGGAATATTGTTTATCTGGGACAAGTGTAATCCTCTTGATCCCTATCAAAAGGAATGACATCAAAAAACTGATGTTGCCTAATAAAAGGATTCGAAAGGAAACTTCTGGCTATGGGTCTTAACTAAACAAGCCCCTCCCCCCATTTATCTGCATAGTCACCGTCTTTCAGTGACCATGTCATACTTCTATTGGTTTCCATTCCATACTGTACTACTGTTTCTCTATTTAAATTATTTAATCATTTGTTATGAAGCAGACTGCAAATCCAGTTTTTAAAATTCAGATGAAAGTTTTCTATCATTATTATTTGTGGTTAAATTTTCACTGATAATTTCTTTGCATGTGTTACACCCTGTCATGACAACTTCCTTTTATGAGCAGTTGTCACTTATGAGTTATTACAATCTTTACTGAACATGAGTAAAGATTGGTGGAGTTTTGACATTTGGTCAAGTTACCTATGTACGGAGAGAGAGAGAGAGAGAGGGGGGGGGGGGGGGAGAGAGAGGGGGGGGGGGGTGTGTGTGTGTGTGTGTGTGTCAGGGGAACTGTTAACAGGCGTGAGAGACCAAAGAAAACATTAAACAGGCTTTTCTCTGAGGAAACTTTTCACATTCTTAGAATAAGGTGAATATACTAAGCGTATGAAATTATGCATGGTGTGCTGAAAACAAGTAGAAAAAGAAATGATGGTAATATGATTCTTTGGAAGGGTAGATACTGACGTTGAAGCTCAAATAGTTTGGCCAACAAATGAGAAGAGAGGACTCTGTTGTTGGCAAAAGGAGAAGGGGACAGCATTGCATGAGATGGTTGGATAGTGTCATCTACTCAGGGGACATGAGTTTGGGCATACTCCCAGAGACAGTGGAAAATGGTGGGGGGGGGGGGGCTGGTGTGCTATAGTCTGTGGGTTGCAAAGGATCGGACATAACCTAGCAACTGAAAAACAATGATATCTCCAGGATCAGAGAAAATGTGTTTTTCAATATGGATATGTCAACTCGCAAAGCATCCCTGGCCTGCTCTCAAGTTGCCATAGGCAAGGGGGATGGGAAAATGAACTCTGCAGCTGCAGTGAGGCAGCACATCAGTCAAAAACAAAGCACATTCCAGCCATATCTCTGTCAAAGCCGTTTCTGCGGTTACCCACAGTGGCTGGAGGGGAGTGAGCTCTACAATCCGCAAAATTGCTTCATTGGAGAATGTGACTGATGACACACCTTGGAGGGAGGGAGGGAAACAGGGTCAGAGCTGGAACGTAAATTATGTTGGGTCAGAGTTTGCTTCACTTGGAATGGGCCAACATGAAGCTCCCAATAAATAACTGGATTTCTTTTGAAGCTTGGCTCGAGACTCATGATTTAATTAGGGCATTGGTCAGAACCCTGACAATATGATTATGTGGACTCTATTCTGGTAAAAAACTTGCCTTGCCAATGCTTAGCTGAGTCTGGCATTTTGTTCCTCTCAGAGGCCATCCAGATGTCTTTGGGCTGTTCACAAGTAGGATAGAGAGACATAGTTTTTTGTCACCATTGTTTCCCTGCAGCTAATATTTGAAGACAGGCTAACTAACCCCGAATCTGAGGTATGAATTTATCTGATCCTATTTAAGTCCATCCTAATTAGTGATCATCACTATGCCTCAGGCTAATGAATTTCACAGGCTTATGTCTTGCATTTGAGGGCTCCTGGCTGGCCTTTGTAGGAACTAAAAACAATTAATGGGTCTCTGAGTCTCATCCAGCCTACTATTACTGCAAATGCAAACATATTCAAGCACGAAGTATAGCAATGAACTCAGTTGTACAAAACCAAAAAGACCTTTACTTCTATCAACAGAAAGCTATACTGATAGAAATCCTGAAGTCTTTTTTTCTTCTTCAAATTGTTTAAGGGTTTCTTTTATAAAGTAGCAACACAATGTTTTAAAAAGTGGTTAAGTATTTCTAAGGAACAGAGCTGACATTTAACTTCTCCTATATGAGAACTGCTAAAATTAATTTATTTTTACATCACTGCAATTCATGTTCCAGTTTATCGTTTAAAGGTAAATAAAATTAATTTCATGCTTGCATTCTTTTCCTTTTAAGTGAACCAGAGGAGTGCAAGGTAAATTTTCACCTCAGTTAGTTAATTTACATCTGATTATTCATAAGGTTGAGACATCTGCCTTTGCATATAATGGAGTTAGGGGGTGGGTGGGTTATAAGTTAAATTAAAGGGTGTTAAGGTCTTTATTAATGTATACTAATAAAATGAGAGAATCATAGTGGAAGAGCTGGTCCTAAAATTCTGATGCCGTTCCAGGTTGTAACATGAAAGGGATGCCATTACAAGTTACACACGGGGTGGGCTTCAAAAATTTTAGCAAGGGGTTCTCTGCCCGGTTGCTGGGTAGGTGTAGCCATGTGGGCGTGGCCTAATGAGCTTCCTGCACCATGGCGGGGGGGGCGTTTTTGCTTTCCCTGGGCTCCGGAGGCTTTCTTCGAGCCTCCAGGAGGGCGAAAACAGCCTCCCTAGGCTCTGGAGGCTTTCTGGAGGCTAGAAACAGGCCCAGAACATCTCAAAATTCTGGTAGGCCTGTTTTTCGCCCTCCCCGAGCCTCCACGCGTGCCCTGCACTTACCTGCATCCAAAACAGGCCGTATGAGGAGTCATGGCAGGGGCAGGGTAGGCGGGGCCAGCCAGGAGTGGGATTTGGGGGTTCTCCGAACTGCACAGAATCTTAGCTAGAGGTTCTTTCGAACCCCTGTGAACCCCTGGCAGCCCACCCCTGGTGACACACTATGTAAACTGCAACAGAACTTAATATCGCCAAAACTCTGATACACTTTCAACAACCAGCTTCAATGCAGAAACTGTCATCTACAAATAAAAAAAAAAGTAGGATGGCTTTAGTTTACCTCATCTACAGGCATGTTAATCAAAAGGTCTTGAGGGAAAACATTTGTGTTGTGGCTACATCGCTATGGATGCTCCTGAACAATCACACCCTTACAGGTAGTTCTTGACTTACGACCATTCATTCAATGACCATTTGAAGTTGTAACACTTCACAGAAGAAAGTGCTTATGACCGGTCCTCACACTTACAAATTACTGCAGCGTCTTGAGGTCACGTGTTCACCATCTGCAACCTTCCCAGGGAAGTCAACGAGGAAGCTAGATTTGCTTAACAACTGTGGCAAAAAGGTTGTAAAATCACTTAATGCCCATATTGCTTAGCAACAGAGGCTTTGGTCCCAACTGTGGTCATTAATTGAGACTATCTTTATGATAACACAAAGCTGCCCACTTATGCTGGCCTTTCATTCAAATCTTCCACCTAATATGAAAAGAGCTACAGAAACAACAAGAAAATATGGGATAGTGGAGTACAAAACAGCCATATGGATTTACTTCCTTTCCCCTTGTTTTTGCTATGCGTTTACTTATATATTGTACAATATACAGAACATCATCTTCATAGGTTTATTCAGCCTCTGTTTCTCTATCACGATATACTTTTAAAATTTTTTTATTTATTTATTGGTTCGATTTATATGCTGCCCTTCTCTGGAGACTAGGGCAGCTTACAATGCGTTAAGCAATAGCCTTCATACTTTTGTATATACCTGCTTAGTAGGGCTTTTGCCCCTCCCCCATTCTTTTTTATACAAAGTCAGTTTATTGCCCCCACAATCCGGGTGCTCATTTTACCTACCTCGAAAGGATGGAAGGCTGAGTCAACCTTTTAGTGTGATATCTGTGCATCTCTCGCTTTGGGGTTGGAAAAGCAAGGGGTCAAATTCTCTCAAGTCACATATTTATTATATGCATTTAATGCAGGGGTCTCCAAACTTGGCAACTTTAAGACTTGTGGACTTCAACTCCCAGAATTCCTCAGCCAGCAAGGATTTCTGGGAGTTGAAGTCCACAAGTCTTAAAGTTGCCAAGTTTGGAGACTCCTGATTTAATGGAACAGTTCTGATGCCCACTTTTTAATCACAGAACGAGAACAGCTGTTTGAGTAAGCCCATGATTCAATCAAATGTATTTAAACATAGGAGTGAACAGACCACTCCTTATAAATCTGCAATATTTAGAAATCATCTAGGCTAAAGACCAATCAGAAGTCAGCACACCTGATTGTAAAGACAGGAGCCCAATCAATCTCTGCTAAATTGATTGTGGTCTCCATAGTTGCTGGCAAAACATCAGGTAATCTATTGATAATGGGCCACTAAATCCTGAAGCCAACACTGCCCAGCTAAACAGTTATAGTTCAAGATGTTTGGTTTACATCTATTTTCCTAGGCAGAAAATCTTGACAAAGTTAGGTCCTTCTAGCTACATCTAAATATTTATGTATCTGTCAACATTATCTGAATCTGTTGCAATTGCAGTTTTCAGAATTC